GTCTCCCCAGAAATAGTGTATGATGCATTTTTTTCCTTTTGTATAACTATCTACCTAGCAACAAAGCAGTATACTTGTCAGACAAAGTTTTAATGCATTTAAAGAAACTAGTCCAGATGAGTCAGGAATTACCTGACCACAAATGGACCCTCCACATTTACTTTTCTTGTTTCTTCTAAAAAAGAAAAGAAAAGAAAAGAAGTACTTTGTGTTTTATTTTTAAAGCCAATTGATTCTGCACCACTACAGGTATCTGAGCAGAGAGCCATAGATAGGATTATACTGTTATACAAACCCCTGTGTTCCCCTTAGGTTTACTTTTAGAATGAGGCTGGTAGTGACACTGGGAATCTTTTAAAACAAAGCTTCTTCACTTAGATATCAGGGTTTCAGGACACTGCAAAATTACATGCTGTTTGTTCTGCAGCTGTCCTTGTTATATTCAAAGTATTTCCCAGGAACTGCATGACTTATAGCTAATTGTGCTGAAGCCCAGAATGACATTCAGTGCATTTTGATTGGTGAGCAGCATCTATTGTTTGTTTTTGTGTGGGGGGGGGTTGGTCACAATTCCATTTGCATCATTTTCTACCACACTTGATTGCTTGTATTGGTCCAAAGGAGCAGTAACAGAGGTATGCTCTCAGACTCCCCTCCACTCCTTCTCCCTCCCCCCATACCTTCTGGATGTCCTTCCCTTGGCCTTTGTCTCTTCTCCCACCCTGCTTGCCCATCCACCAGCCAGTCTCCTGCCCCTGCTCTCGTGCTGGCAGGAGTCATAGAGGTTTTCCTCTGCTTCTCTTGCCAGTTGGTTCTGTGGGACCCAGTGGCATGTCTCATGATCATGCCCTCCCCATCCACCCCCACCCCTGCTGCCATCCAATCCTCTTTCAGAGATGTCAGGGTGAAGAATTGCCTGCCAAGTGTTGGCTGTGTGTTGAAAACCCAGCCTGTTGGGCTCCAGGATGGAAGCCTGTGACATTCTACTTTGCAGCTTGTTGAAAAAGTGAAAAGGGCCACAGTTTGATACTTCAAATCAGCACTATATCGCTTGTCAAAAAGTGAAGAAGTTGGGAAGCATGAAGGGGAGAGGTGGAGAAGAGAGTGGCTTGTTTTTGCTTAAGGCTCACCAGATGCACGGATTACATACATACATTCAGACATATATGGGATACATATACAAACACATATGTGCTAGTTGTGGGAGAAATTATTTTTCAGTTTTATTTAGAAATTGTATTTAAAAAACTACAACAAATAATAAATATTAAATATTTATTAAACAAAACTAAAGAGAGAAAAAACAGCTACATAAACTGTGCACCGAACCACACACCAGGGAATAACTATGCAAATTGTGAATTTCATTGTATGTGCATACTATGTATATAAATACAATGACAATAACTTCATTTGATTTTTTTAAAAAACACCACGTACCCTTCTGGGGGCCCCTTTTCATCCCAAAATAATATATACTTGTGTGTGTAGCACTTTGTCCCTTTCCCTTTAACAGTACACAATTAATAAATTATCCCAATTACTCTGCAAACACAATTTTACTAGTTATCCCCTTCTTAATTTTTATGTTATATGGATGTTTATCATTAGTTGCTATATCCCAAACTTCTCCAAACCACTTAACAATATTTTGTGAACTGATTTTCAATTCCTAGCAATAATCAAGCTGTTAACAGATTACGAACTAGTTATATCCTCCTCCTTTGTCACCTGGCAGGACAAAGTTCCAAGTGAAGTAGTCCTAGAATGAGCTGGAATTTTTAGCATGTATTTTTTTTTTTGTTCAGTCATTTAGTCGTGTCCGACTCTTCGTGATCCCATGGACCAGAGCACGCCAGGCCCTCCTATCTTCCACCGCCTCCCGGAGTTGTGTCAAATTCATGTTGGTTGCTTCGATGACACTGTCCAACCATCTCATCCTCGGTCGTCCCCTTCTCCTCTTGCCTTCACACTTTCCCAACATCAAAGTCTTTTCCAAGGAGTCTTCTCTTCTCATGAGATGGCCAAAGTACTGGAGCCTCAGCTTCAGGATCTGTCCTTCCAATGAGCACTCGGGGTTGATTTCCTTTAGAATTGATAGGTTTGTTCTCTTTGCAGTCCAGGGAACTCTCAAGAGTCTCATCCAGCACCACAATTCAAAGGCATCAATTCTTCGGCGGTCAGCTTTCTTTATGGTCCAGTAATGTATACATTACTGAAACAGTGGCGTCTATGTTGGCTTGGGCATGTCGTGAGAATGGCTGATGGTCAGATTCCAAAAGATTTCCTGTATGGAGAATTAGTGCAGGGAAATCGCCCCAGAGGGAGACCACAGCCGCGATACAAGGATATCTGCAAGTGGGATCTGAAGGCCTTAGGAATGGACCTCAAGAGATCTTGACATCTGAGCGTTCAGCCTGGAGGCAGGCGGTGCATCATGTCCTCTCCCATTTTCAAGAGACACTTGTCCAGCAGACCAAGGCAAAGAGGAAGTCCCCAAAGCAGCAAAATCAGGGAGCTGGACAGGAGACAGATTGTATTTGTCTTCAGTGTGGAAGCGATTGTCACTCTCGAATTGGCCTTCTCAGCCACACTAGACGCTGTTCCCAGTCCTCCGTACAGAGCACGTTACCGTAGTCTCTCGAGACTGAGGGATGCATAATCCAATATCCTCCTGCACTTATCTATCTCCCTTTCAAATATTGATAAAAGTGCTGTTTTAGGCATACGGCTAAATTTAAGTTGCTTATTTCAGTTACTCCTTTAAAAACCAATTGCTGAAATATATTTACACAAACACACACACACACAGATTCCCAGCACATATTTGAACAATTATCATCTAGTTGATTAAGTTTCACTGGAGTTAAGTATCATCTCCACACTAACTTATAAAAATTTTCTTTTATTCTTATTGACATAGGTCTTAATATTCTAATATTCCACACATAGAAGAGTTCTATAAAAACACATTCTACTAGTCCCCTCCAGCTTAAAATACTTGCAGCGTGCAGTTCTAAAAATTGATCATTTGCTTTCCTCATCAAGAGAGAAGAAAAATGCCAGTGGTGCATTAAGTATTTCTAAGACCAAGACCCATCCACGTCCCTCTTTCTCCCCTACTTTCCTGGCAAACTGACAGCTTTCTGCATCTCAGGGCACTGTTACATGTTGAAATATTCCTAAGTTTGCATCAGGTTTAGCAAGCTTGAAATGGATTTTAAAATATCTGTTTACATAACATAGAGCTAAGTCCACTTTTTTGGAGAGGAAGTGTGCTGTTTTATTTGGAAAGCAAGTTTTTTTAAACACCCACAAGTGGCTTGTTTATTTTAACTTGATTGTGATTTATTTTGAATCGTATTTGCATGTATGCTTACCTTTGTCAAAGTAAAAAATTAGAAAAGAAATATTAAAAATCACACCACAGTGGGTTAAAGGTTGTTCCCAGAGGATGCACGAAGAGCTGTATCACATGTTTTTTGACTGCATAGTAACCTTGCATTCCAATCTGTTTTTTCTCCTGTCTATAACACTGATTTAGCACTATGCAACTTTGGAAAAAAATTAGAAAAGAAAGATTAAAAATCACACCACAGTGGAAAAACATGGCTTTTGTCCCTGCTATCCACATCACCTCAGTGTGGGAACTGAGTTGGTAGTGGAGGAGGCAGCAGCAAGTGGTGGTGAGAAGCAGCCAGCATGAAGATAGGCAGCTACAAGACAAAAACCTCCAAAGCAGTTCTAGGACAATATGCCAGCAACCAGTGTGTCCCTGCAGCTATGGCAACATGGTGTTTTAGTTTAGTTTTTGGGGGCAGATACAGTATTTCACTCTGGGAATGCACAGCTTTGGGAGGACAAAACTCTGTGGTGGCAATTTTAAAATGATTTTAAAAGCTCATGTAGACCCCTTGACCAATATACCACACACCTTACAGCTGGGTTAAAGGTTGTTCCCAGAGGATGCACACAGTGACCCAAAACCCGCATGACTTTAAACTGACTTCAAAAATTCTGATCCAGCTCTCAGTTTATTTCAATAGTCTAACTACACCCTCAACCAGCTGCCCATTCAGAAATGAGGTTATTCTATATCATTGCTTCTCCTTCTGGTTCCAATTTGAAAGTAAACTGTTTTCTTGGGTGTTGGAATTAGGTGGGAAAAAGATTTGAACTGTCTTTCTTACCTTAAAAAAGAAAACCACCTGTCTAGGAACTATTTATTCTAGTTTTCAGCTGATCATCTTGCAGAGGAGATTCCAGAAAATCCCAATATTTTGCCCTCCCTGAACTAGGTGAGAATTACAGTGATTTCAGTTTTTGGTGTGGACTCTTACTACACACCTCCATGGAATAATTAAATATGGTGTAAATGACAACAATAGTTTCACCAGCACAACCTGCGAGAGGTATGGTACACAAACAAATCTGAATCAACATGGGACAATTTCTCTGTGTGGTCAAGTCTTCATTGTGGTTTGTTGAATTATTATTAGATCATAAGATAGAAGTAACAATTCCTCTCACAAAAAATCCTCTGTCAAAAAGCAGCCATCTAGTGCCCCCTCATATTTTATCTAATTATTTATATAATGGTTGGAATGTCATATAGACATTAAAATAACTAGAAGAGGGGGAAGAAATAAAATCCTGAGGTACATATGTGGAAGGGGGGAAAACAAAAAGAATTCACTCCCCAGTCTGCATTTGAAAAGAATGAAGATATATTTTAAAAAAGCCATCTGGAGTTTATTTAGTCAGTCTGGCTGAGCAAAAGGTGGAGGGATGGAATTAGCAATCAAGGAAGTCTGTTGTGTAGGAAGCAGTTCTCAAACTGATAGATCTAAAGGCTTAGGGACTTGTCAGGAGAACTTCATTTACCACTTTTCCAAGCATGCAAAAAAAAAAAAGTTAAAGCAGAATAATATGCATGGAGAATCTCTGTGTCACATAGTAACAACAACAAAACAGCTAACTTACAAATGTATATACAGTACCTCGAATGCCGTTTTCTTTCCTTCTGTGAAAGCCCTAAATTCATAGTAAGGCACAGGAGAAGCAAAGGGCAACCAAACAAATACAGTTGAAAATCAAACAATGTCTTCAATGGAGCAAATGTGTCAGCAAGGTGGGGAACAGTTGGGATGCTGCTGATAGGACAGGGAGATAACAAGTCTACAAGAGACTGACTAGAGATCAGCAGGTTTGTCAGACAGACAAGAAACATTTATACACCGGGACAATTAAGGACAAGAAGTGAAAGTTCAACATAAAAGAGAAGGCAAAGGAGTGGTTGTGAAAATATGAGAGAATCTACAGAGTTGCTAGGTTAAGTTTACATGTCAAGACAGGATCACATTTGTTCATCAAGGTGTTTGACAGGCAATTTGGGATTCAAAAGTCACAAGAAAAGGCAAATCGGAGCATATGAACAGCACACTCACATGCCAAAGCAAGATATAAGAAGCCATATAAGGAATAAGGGCAATCAAGGAGAAAGTGATTAAAACATTGGAAGGAAGTGACTCAACAAGTATGAGGTAAGGTATCAAGTAACTGAAAGAACTGACTGCTCATCCAAAGGTACTGCAACAAATCTTTTATTTTAAAAACAGAGATGTTGGGTTCAGGCTCTTCTCCACTCAGCACAAGATTGGAGGAAAATCATGATACAGGAAAGTTCCAGGATAGATCTCTGTTGAGATTTTGATATGAAAATGTATTAAATATTAATGTTGTAGAGTCAAATGTAAAATGGCTGATTTTACCTGAGTCATTGTACTGATTGTATTCAGGTGTGGGTATCAAGGATTAAGACTTAATGTTGTACAGCTGTGTACATGATGAAACTTTGTGTAATAGAAAATGAAGTAACGTATTTTCTGATTGGTCACAGAACTGTACATAAGTCATGTGTAAAATGAACGTCTTTATCTGCTGTAAGTCAGATCACTTTTTCCTATGCTGTGTATTGCTTTGTGTCATGTTATGCTGCCAGAAGAATGTCTGTTCTCTATGTATATATGTAAATAGACTAAGTTGTTGGTTTTACTCCCTCAGTGTCATAGTGTCATAAGTATCTCTGCTAACCAATATCTCCTTACTCTGCTGATGTAATGAGAATGCACGTTATAATCAAAATTCTCAACAAAAATTCTTGTGTAATTTAACTTACATACTGAAAAGTATTCCCAACTCTCTTTTAAGACATATGAGCCTACAGCTATGTGTCACACGTGCACAACATGTGATATGTAGTCTAACATATGAGATCACTGTGATTATAATACTACTGTCATGAGAGTCAGCCTTGGTCACCTGACTTGGACTAAGGACATGCAAGGCAGCGGCAAATTCCACTTTATATTAGAGTACTAAAACCTACACAGGGTACTTCCAAGACAGAGGGTTCTCACTGCTACCAATCAAAACATTATCCTGTCTTTCATCCCTCAGTTGCTTCTACTCCCAGCTGAAACAGCATCATGTGCTTCAAGCACATTGCATACAGCCACCCAGTAAATCTAGACTAAAATTTAATAGCATTGCTGAGCAACAAAATCTATTATGTGAAATACTGTACTTCAAGCATTTATGGAAATATGAGATACCTAGTAAATTCTCTAGGGTTGTGATATTCTGGAACCAGTTACAATCCTTGTAAAACAAAGGACCACCTAGAAAGCTTGATCTTTACTTTTGTTTAGTTTTACTGCAAAGAGATTACAAGATAAATCCTATTGAGCTGTTGCAACTGGGAGTTCCAAGAAAAATCTATGGCAAACCCAACTATGGGGGGGGGCATGCTGCTTTCCTGGCAATTTGGGGCCTTCACTGAACTTGAGGCCCTAACCAGACTGGATGTTAATCAACATTACTGTACATGAATGCAATGAATACCTACTGCTTCTAAAATATCAAATAGCAGTTGAGGGGGGCTTTATTCCATAACTTGGATGTGCAAAGGTATAAGTTAAACTCTATCCACCTTTGTTCTAACAAAAGTTCCCTTTGGGGGGACTTGGGAAACAGCACTACATTCAGTAACTTTGAGTTAACATTTATTACAATTATCTGGAATGAAGGAAATCACCTCGAACAAAAAAAAAGTTAGATTTTTAAAAGATAGCAATTTAACAACAATAACAACAAACAGGGACTGTGGTTATTCTGGCCTCTGAGAAGGTGACACAAGCAAACCCAACTTTCCTTACTGGTGTCTGCTCAAAAGGGAAGCTCTTATGTCTTTCCAGCATTAAGGCAGCATTAAGGCTGCCCAAGCAGCAAATAGCAGCTGTTGAGAAGGCATTTTTTAAAATCACACATAGGGTACAAAGACTTAAATTCTCTCTCATCACACACCATATTTCCAGGGCTGGGCAGGGTTTCTCCTATCTGCTAATTATGTTTTTCAAAATGAACATTTGAATTGTATTTCCAAATTACTACATGATCTAGTTTGAGATTAAACTCTTTTTGACTATAAAACGGACATAGCTTGGAAAAATAACTTTTAGGTCAGAAGGCAAGACTTGAAAGAGTCCCTTTGGTTGGCCTATTAAATAGCTTTTATACAGTAGCTATTGATCCATAATTGGGCCATGCCCAATTTGTATGTGTGTGTGTGTGTCATTCCAAAATGTTATGCAGCACTATATCCATAACCAGCATTTTTGTGACCTGCAAGCCACCATGAAATGTAGAGATGGTAACACTCCCCTTTCTCATACACTCAAGACTCTGCAGGAATAATGTGAGTGATAACAGTCTCCATGGAGACCATGTATTTTAGGTGGCAGGCTGCCCAGTACTGCTGAAGTGCTTTTGATGGCTCTCCTATTGAACTGTCACATCGAACAGCCAATGATTTACCATGCCAAGGGAGTGAGCTTATTAAGACAGGGAGGTGGGCACAAGAAGAATGTCAGCAGGCCTCTGTAATACGCTTGAACAAGCTTCAGCGGGAAAGATAACTTGTTTTAGAAAGCTTCCATAGCCTAACGCAAGCAAGCCTGTGGACCCAGCAGAACCCATCTTCCAGTAAACCTACTGACCTCTGACTGAAGTTGCATTGCTTCAAGGTAAGAAGGGGTGAGATGCAATACCACTGAAATTCCCCTCTGTAAATCACAACTCTTACTGACAGAGTGTTGCAAAGCATCTTGTTCTGGTGCTTTCAGTTGATTTACTTGTATACTCTAGAATTTACAAGGTCCTTGCTTACAAGATCACTACACGTGAATTCATTTTCCCTAAGCATCTGCTCACTTGATATCAGATGCACATAATTTAACCTCTTCAATGGGTCTTAGAGAATTGAGAAGGGAAATACTGTATTGTTCCTTGTAGATGAAAGAATGTTCAAATGGATAAATCTGGGTTAAAACATACACATTAACAGAGGAATGTGCCCATAATTTTCACTGGAAAGACGAAGAGAAGAAACCTTGCTATATTTTATTTTCTTGGTTGTTTAGGGGGAAAAGGGAGCTGGGCAGTTAAAATTAGCCCATGTTAAGTGATCACAAAAATATTCCTTAAAATGTAGAATTTGGATTCTAAACCAAATTAACAATTCTATTTATTTGTATTCTAAAACTGCTCTGTGTACAACATCCCAGAGGTCCTAAAAGCCTCATCAAAACATTGTTATAAACTGCTTATGTTAAATAATGTCTATAATAAAATAATAAAATTGAAACTAGAGTTTTAAATGATTAATAAATATTTAAAATTAAAATTTGAATGCTTAAAATATTGCTAGAATGCTTACTTTAGTCATGGATTTTTTTAATTATTAAAAAAAGTCTATAAAAGACAAATGTGTTATCTCTTGAATGCACTCTTTTACTTTTATGTAGCTTGTTTCCATTGTTTGAAATCTCAACCGGAAATAATTTAGTGAGGCTCAGAAATACTTCCATTGCTCTTCTTCTCACTCTCACTAGTTTCAACTCTTTAGAAATTCTCCATCCAGCCATTTAATCTAGGGTAATTCCCCCCCCATTTCCTCCAAGCATCTGGAGATGTAGATTTATGGGAAATTCTCACTATTCATATAAAATTGTTAGTAGTGGTGATTGCTTTGGGCCATTGAGGATAAGTGTTCAACTACCAGACTTGACTCTGTGCCATGGTGAAATGCTATAGAGCAGTTGTTTTTTTTAGGAGGGGGAGATCCACAAGGAAAGAAATAGTCAAGATCTACCACTCCTTATCTGTGCCTTCCACAATCTCTTTCCCCACCTATATTTTCTTTCCTTCATGGATATTTGCAGCTTCTGAGCCTGATTCAGAGAAAAGAGATTGTTGGGTAGGGTTGAGGGACAGAAGCAATGAGTGAAGGAAGTGTTACTTTCCCCACCTCTTTCAGTCCTTCTTTTTGTTATTACATTTATCCTGTATTTTTGCCCAATAATGTATGTATAATGTATTGTTGCCCAATAATCTGCCCATGAGAGCTGGCACAACATATCAAAATGTCCATTTCAGAGAAAAAGAGATAAACGTTAAAAACACGGTATGAACAGAACAACAACAAACCATGAGCATCTAAAAGTACTATGACCAAACCAACAGTACAATAAGCAGATAAAGGCAAACAACCATATATCATCAATAGCCAGGCACTAGTACATTCCCAACTGCCTATGGCATTTCGTAAGGGTTAGAAACTTACAAATGGAAACACCAATAGAGAAAACTGAGTCTTTGGGAGAATAAGATGAGTTTTTTTCCAAATCCAAGCATCAAACTGTTTACAGCTTTAAAAGGTCAGAGTGGTGTCATATGATTTGAAAAATTGACCCTAGCCATCAGCCTGGACATTAAAAGAGGACTTCTGTGTAGAACAACTGACAGTAACCTAATTTAAAGTAGTGACAGATTATAGACATTTCTCAGTATTTGAGCAAGAATATCGAGTTCCTAACACACAAGACTACTACTCTAACCAATTGGATCAGGTGCAAAAAGTAAGGCACTCATTTTGCCAGGAAAAGATAGATGCCCCTACAGGTCCCAAGGGAGGAGTGTGATCCTCATGGTTCAAAATATGATTCTAAAGACACGAGATTGGCAGAAATGTTTGCATGTTTTTGTACCTGCAGTGCTCATGGCACAGAAGATAATCCACCGTCTTTATTACTGCTCTGACTGGGTCTTTAGTACTACTAGTATTTACCATCTCTCAAAGTGATATTTGTTTCTTTTTAGTATTTTCATAGTCACTGTTCATAGCTTAGCTTTGTTCTTAGCACTGTTCTGTTGTATGCTCATTAATTTCAGCTTTAAATATTGTCTTTCAAGGATGTAAACTGCCTTGAGTACTTTTTAAGGAGAAAGGTGAGGTAAAAATATTTTAAATAAATAAAATACATACCCTCAAGGAAGAAAGTATGTTATTAGTCCTTGTAATATATGAAAGCAAGACATAAACTGGATCATGATAAAATAAATAAATAATGAAAGACCAAGAGGCTATTTTTGAGCAAGACACTGTTGCACTTGGAACAGCTGTGAAGCACTCTTGGCAGAAATTTTCCCAGACATTTCTCCAGAGACCTTTGAAACCCTATGGAATGTAAGTACTTTTGTGGAAGGTCAATAGTAAAAGAAAGAGAGAGAGAGAGAGAGAGAGAGAGAGAGAGAGTATAAGATAGTAAAAGGGCAGTGATTGAATAGGCTGAGAATTAATGACAAAAAATAGGAAAATGTGGAAATAGGCAAGGAAAGAGCAATACCTGTAATCTTAAGAAAGCAACATAAAAATTAAGCAGTCTGAATGGCAAATGCTTATCTCTTTAGGAAGTTGTTATAACTAACTTGAGAATATGAGAAATTTGTATTCATAATGACTGGAGAAGGCAAATGTGTATGAATGAATCTATCTGGTGCACAGTTATGTTATCAAGTCACTTCTGATCTTTGGCAACCCTATGAACTAGTGACATCCAAAAGGTCATGTCACTAACAGGGCTCAGGGCTTGGGAACAAAAGGCTACTCCTTGGTTTATTGAGTCAATCCATCTCTTATCTGATCTTAGTACATGATTAATGATTGCAAGCACTTTCAGAGTTTTCCAAATACAGAGTACTCAGAACTAGTTTACTGTTCCTTTCTTGGGGGGGGGGGCATCCTATGCTGCTCACCCAAGGCCGCACAGGCTGGCTCTACTTGCAGGTGGCACAGTGGGGAGCTGAGCTCCCAGCCTCCAGTTGTGCAGCTCGATACCTAAAACACCGCATTATCCAACCAGTTTAGCAACTTGGCCATGGCTAGATAGTCTGGCTCTTTTCCCAGGAGGCACAATGGGGAAATGAACTCCCAGTCTCTGCCTCCACAACCAGATACATATATGATTGAGCTATCCAGGCAGCTTAGTACATGATTGTTGGGTCTGAATTGGAAATAAATTATTTGAAGATGAGATGTGCCAGAATCAAAAGATTTTGTATGTTGAGTATCTGGATACCCTTGGAATCTATGTTCAAAATACAGTATGTGCTGTAATGGAATAAGGCTTAGCAAGTAATTGTAACAGTGCCTTTAATTCATAATGGGCAGAGAGTTCAACAAATGATTAGTTCTGCTGGAAGCAGGGATGTGAAGCTAGCAATGTGAAGCCAGTAACTTACAGTCAATCTAGCTATTCATTCTTCTGTTCGGGAAATTACTGCAAAAACATGTAGGCTAGCAGAACAATCCTGTTTGAGGTGTGCTGTAAATAAGCTATTGCCTAGACTCAAAGGAAAGTTTTGAGATTGGCTGCTCGGTGGTCCTAGTCTTTAATGCTGTGTTGATATAGCTTTTTTCTCTTTTTCACAGTGGTTGACTATTTAGCCATGGCAGACTGCACTTCCAGTCAGGTAAAGGCCTCAGAAGATACAGATTTTGCCCAACCAAAGGCAGGGTCAGTATCTCTTTGCCAGAATTCTCAGTATACAGATGCGACACCAAGGCCACAGTTACGTCTGCACAGTATTGAAGAAGAAAAAGGCCCCTTCCCACCATCTCGGAGAAGTTCAGTTATGAGCATCCTCAATGCCTCTTTCTCCAGCAGGAGGAACTCACTGGCTGCAGGGGGAAGGCGCCTCTCGATTGGGCCCTGGATGCATTGTGGCCGAGTAAGTTTCTCTGGGCTGCCCCTCTTTGAACCTGTTCGGGAGACACACTATGAGAACACCTACAAGACCCACCCGGATGAAGGCTGCAAATTTAATTCCTCCCAGGTACAGCAGGTTCTGGAGACAGTTCTGGCCAGCTACTTAGGAGATGCAAAATATAACCCCACTAATAGTGGGCAGTCAGCCCAGAACCTGTCTGACATTATCAGGAACAGAGTCAAAGACATCACTCCACTTCGCTATAAGCTGGTGTGTAATGTTTTTTTGGGCCAAAAGGCCAGCCAAGGGCTCCACATTGCCAGTCGTTCTCTCTGGGATGTAGAGAGTGACAGCTTTGCCTCTGCTACTTTCACCAATTCATCACTTTTTGCTGTGGCCACAGTACACGGACTGTACTTTGAATGAGCCATTCCAGCACATCCTTCTTCCTTACTATTATCCAGTTAAAAATAACAACAATGTGTCCATACTTAATGCAAACTAACATTAAATGATGCAAGAAATGCATAGCCCCACCAACATTTGCCAGATAAAAATATTTTGCATTCAGTGTGAAAAATATTTTCCATTAGCTAGGTAACAAACAAGTAATAAGAGCAAACCTACCTCTGCGAGGTTCTGAGGGATCACATTACCTGTTCAATTGCTTCTTCTTTTAATTACTTAACATTAAGCTTTATATTTCCCAGCACAGAGACTGGTATCTACATCTATTTTTCTAGTGCCGTTATCAATTAATTGCCGACTGTGGCTTGGAGGAGAGCATATGAAAATTAATTTCTTGCAAAACATCTACTAGAACTCACTTTCCAATTAAACTTAGTTGAAAAGAATCTGTAAGAGCATTTCTATGATGCTTTACTTTTCCTTCCTGGTATATGCATGGGTTTTGGTGGGGAGAAGACAGACTGACTCCGTTATCTCTGAAAGCTTGTGTTACAAGTTGTTTTAATATATTTTCACATAAACAGTCTTCTAACTAATTGGTGACCAAAAATGATCACTTTCCTTACCCTAGAAAACTTTTGACATGTTGGATGCAGAATACAAACTTGTAATCTAATGCACAACTATGTGTGGGTAAACAGCCTTTGAGTTCAGAACACTTTTTATTTGATTATACACCTACTTATTCAGAAGCCTCCCTATCAGAGAACTCAACAGCTCCTAGAAGATTCCAAAGGAATAAATTTGCCATTGCTCACTTGTTCGTAATTCATTTACACAAAAAAACAAAATTTGCCTGTTATCCAGTGTCAGACAAGCCTTAGCAGGAATAATCTCAGTCAATGTGCAGCAAAGCTACAACCCTACCTAGAGGCCCCAATGACATTCTGTTTCATACAATACTGGCCCTATTTCTACATAGACACGTTCCCTGTTATCAGGCATTCAGTGTCATCAGATGTTCATTAAGCTGATGACAGCCCAGGCAGAGCAGGTGGTGGTGGTTTTATCTGTCTTTCACACTCAACTTGGACCCAGAGGCAGTTCCTTTACACAGCCAACTACACTGCAAAGAAAATGGGGTGAGGGGAGAGGAAGAATCTGGAGGCAGTAATGTCAACAATGTGGCAGCAAAGGTGGTTGGCAAAAATGGGAAGGGGGGCATCAAACATGTGTTATTCTTCAAGAGACCAAATTTTGGCAGGGCCAAGGAATGATTCCTGCATAGAATGTGCCCCATAGGATGTTGTAAAACTGTAAGTTTGGTACATGAGAAGAGGAAAGCATAAGAGTGTGGAGGGAGGGAGGCTTTTATAGAGACCAGCATTCAAAAAAAGGTCTTTATACATCTACAAGGTATTGTTACCATCTCAGGCAATGCAGTGTGTAGGTTAGCTCTCACAAATACTAGTTTAGTGTGGAAAGATGTGGCAATGACTATTTCCATCCCATCACGACTAAACAGTGTATAGAGGAATGTTGTTTCTGGCAAGACCCACCAACACAGAGCAAGACTGTTGTCCATTAAAGAGCTTCTGCTCTCTCCACAACTTTTATGTTCCACTCACATCTCCCAAGTTAGCTATTGGTTTAAAGAAAATAGGTGATTCTACAATAGGTTTACTGATTCATAAATGATCTGTGACTCTAAATAAAGGCAACTTTGTTTCATACTCATGCTTGTTACACTTCATGTCAGGTATGTCTACATATATACTTCATAAATATGAAGGTTTTGTTTGGATTACTGCCATGTTCAATGTGGGTTTTCCTCTTAAAATAGTCCCATAATTTCAGTTAGACCAAAAGAGGAGCACAAGACTATTTAATGGACAATGCGGTATACCACTGCTTTGTTATCTGCTTTGACTCAGTTTGTGTTAACTCCTAATTCAAAATGCAAGTTTTGACCTTTAAGCCTATTAACAGCTTGAGACCAGAGAGTCTGGTGGAATCCTCCTATGATATGTACCTATTGCTTTTAAATTAACTTCTAAAATCATTTCAAAACACTTTGGTGTTGCTTGGGAATCTTTACTATCTGCTGATAGAATTTATGCTGTATATTATATATTCTTATTGTTGTAGACATTTGTTATAAGCTCCTCAAAGAACATGGCTGTTGGTATTTATTACATACTAATAAAGATTAGTACTCCTCGCATGTCCTCAAACTTCTGAACTGCAGTATTTTAGCCCAATACAAAGGCCACAATAGCCTTTTACCTTCTACTTACATTTTGCTCTTAAACTACTATACAAGATTTACATTACTTTCTGGGTTAGAGTTCTATTAAGTTGAACTTCATAGAACACAATTGCAACTGACATACCGGACCCCAGGTAGCTGATCAGCTTTGTTCTGGTTCTTTGGAGAAGGCAGAAAAAGATGAAACAGAAACCAAGTTGGGAAAAAGTGATATGGACAGTAGGGCGAACATAAAAGAGGTTATTGTTACTTTTGAGGATGAGTCTAAGTAATCAATGATTAAAGTTACCCTGCCTAAAGGAGTTGTATGGTGTGGCAAGACTCTGGCTTTTGACTGGCTAATGTCACAAAAATAAGCACTGTATCTTTGAAGCCATTCTAGAAAACACACTGGCAACCTACTAAGAACAAAAAGTGTATGTGTGTGTGGCCCAACCCTTCATATTTATGACTATGCATTTTACTGTACAGCAGCATATGACTCCAAGTCTGTTCTTGATGTTCCCAAAACATCCCCTTAGTATTAGCCATGTCAAGTATGTCTACAGGAACACTAAGGACAGGGCTAAATGATAAGAATGCAAGAGCAAATAACTGGCCCAAGCAAAATGTATATGCATGGCACGTAAGTATAGCCATCCCCTCTAGCTCCCTTTATGGACTAACACATGTGAAGCAACTCGACATAGGAGGTATAAAGTGTATAGTCACTGAAATATATCATTCTAGGTCAGTGATGGCGAACCTTTTTGGGTCAGAGTGCCCAAACCGGGGGGGGGACCAGCAGGCAGTGAGCCATGGCGGCGGCAGCACCAGAAGCAGCAGCGGAAGGGAGAATCTCGGAGGTGCCTCGAGACCCCACTCCACATCCGTCACCAGCGCCAGCTGCTCCGAATGCTGGCCTACCATTGGTCAAAGCGCCAGCACCGCAACTGCAGTCGCCTTCTGAGGTTTGGCTGCCGGGGGTGGGGTAGCAATCCGGCAACTTATGGCTTGTGTCATAGGTTCACCATTGCTGTTCTAGGTTATATTTAACCACAAGACAAGATGCCATTATAACTTGTAGTAATTTCTCTTGCTTTTAATAAAAATGAGTTTTATTGTAATGAAAACAGCTGTTTGGGGAAGAAATGGTGTACATAACTGAGAGGACACAGGTGCAAAATAAATAGTTTGTATAAATACATAAATAAATCTTAAGACACACACCATTTAAGCTCCACAGGTAGACAGTCTGTCAAGTTCAAAACACCAAGTGGGCAGCATTTACTTCAGCTGTTCAAGTCTGTACCATGGCAATTTGCAGACTCCCATTGCAGACTCCATCATGGGATGAAAGCAGCCAAGAAACTGAGGCAAAAAGGGCATTCACAGCTTCTGGGAAGAGGGGGAAGGAGCCCCATGTTTGCCTAATTAGTGTAACATTTGCATTACCCAACATGTACCTTTTGCAGCCTCAAATGCTTAGTAGCAGCACCAGAAGACTGAACTGAATCTGATTTAACCGTACCCTTAACTCAGTTGTAGTGGTTCTTCCACACCAACTCCAGAAGGCAGCTGGCACTATAGCCAACGACATTCACCCAAGCATCTTCATTTATAAGTACCATACAGTCAGAGCAAGGAAGCAGTTTGCTTGGCTCCCTGCTAAAGAGGCATCACCCCTGGTACAGCTGCTCTGTTGTACAAGCTTTCTTCTTCCCTGGTCAGCCAGTTCCCAAGTCACAGCTTTCCTGGTTGGTCCACCAGTCAGTGCCAAATATGGATTGGTGAGCGATGCCTCTCCAAGCAGCACAGCATACAGTACATTGGCAATCATAGTGTTCTGTTGGAAGGGCATGTAGTAGCTCATAACTGAAGCCTCCAAGCCCTGAATAAATGGACTGAACACAACCTTTTCTCAACCCATCAGGCTCCAGGATGCCATCTTTCACACCAGACACTTAAGCATTAGTCACCAAGCAAAAAATCCCAAAAACCCATTTTCAAAAAGAAGGATTTGTAATTTCCCTCCCTACTCACCCAATATTGTTCTCCAGATAGTGTATGGAGCACAGATTTTCTTTCCTCCCATCCCAATGACACCATGTGCATAACCAACTGTGCAATGATCACACAGGAGAACCTAAGTAGTAAGACTTAAGGCATCTGTCTTTACATCTCCTCTCCACTGCGGACTGGAGCCATGAAGTCTACCCTTCGTAAAAGGGAAGGGAAGGGAAAGAGGAGGTATTTGGTGGAAGGCATCCAAGAAGTTGATGAATCCTGAAGAGCAGCTCAGAGTTACATGTGTTCAGTTTTGGTTCTGATGTTTTGCTTTCCAGAAGAAGCATCTGCCAAAGAAGAATCCTGCCCAGTTTTTAGAAGAACAAGAAATGGCAGGCAGCCAAAAGTCTACCCTGCAGTCTTAAGCGTCTGTTCGCTGTTGTAGAAGTTTGAGGATGTACTTGAGCCGACGCTGCAGCTCTGGAGAGCAGCCCAGTTCTGCAATGCTGCTGAGCTTGTAAGTATAGGAATTCCTGTCACGGTTTATGTAGGTAAGGAGGCACGAATGGTCAGGTTTGCTGAAAATCACCTTGGTGTGATCATTGTAGAAATTCACCTGGAAAAACAGACAGCAGATTTTTTAAAAAAATACTCATTTCAAATGTCCATTGGCAACTAGTAGGACCTATTCATTGGGAATCACAGCTTGTTTTACTATTGATCTCTGATCCAAAGCAGAGTACATGGTTACAACTTCACATACGCCCATTATATCTCCACAATACTGTGAGAGTGAAGTTTGGCCAAAGGCAATATGAAGTATTTTGATGGTCAAGCGGGGATTAAAACTTGAACCTCCACAGGTTTACAGCAGCTGCCACTGAAAACTGTAGAAGGAGCCCATCCTCATGCACATATTCTCCAATAAAGCAGAGCATAGCATTGACTTCTGCAGAAGCACTCCATGGAAACTTTTATTCAGACCTCAAATGATGTCCAGACTGAAGGAAAATGGGATACCCCACAGGTGAAACAGCAGGTGGTTTGGAGCTGCTGACTCTGAGAAGGCAACTTGATCTGCCTCCTAAATACCTCTTATTTAGATGCAGACTTCGGGTCTCCAGAATCTTTACCTGCAAAGTTCCATTGCTGAAGAGCATCAATAAGGCTTGGTTCGTCTTTACCCACTGTAGAAGCAGCAGTGGCACCTGTCCAGTCTCATCTATGCTGGGTAAGTCTCCTCCCTTTGAAAAGATATAGAAAAGTTAAAAGTACCTAAGAAAAAGATGCCTGACCGAGCTACAACAATTCAACCTCACCCCAAGACTAGGTGCAAACACAAGGTGCTCACACTGGGGAATCACAAGGTACGTGTCTAGGTGGTATGGCCAAATGCAAGGGCAAGGTCAAGCTCAGCTTTGGTTCAGGGGGATTCTTCTGCATCATGCTCTGATCTCCATAGGTGCCACAGATGCAGTTGGTAAAGCAACTGAGAGAGAGTGCAGGCTTAGGCACAGAACCAGCAAATGCATTACCTGGATTGTTACCAACCAAAGCTTTTAGAAAGCAAGAACGAAATTTTTGCTGCTTTTAGTTGTGCTCGCTGTAAGTTTTACATGGTCCCTCACACTTTAGGGGGCAGTTTTGTTAAAAACCAAAACAAAAGACCTTCTACAAATAGCCAGATCAGCCATAAAAAGAAAAAGGGCCAAAATCCTGTGGTAAGTTGCAACTAGAGTAGGTCTATGAATTAGTGAGGATTTGTTGAGTCAACTCCTCTGTAAGTTCCATTGATTCAATGAGCCTAATCTGGTTGCAACTTTCTAGTGAATTTCAGCCAATATACATAAGCAAGCCTGAAGGCATATAATGTTATGCTCCTTACTTTCATAAGATGCTGTTCCATGTAGGAGGCAAAGTACTGCAGGACACCCATCTGTCCCTGCAGCTGTTCAGGAACTGCTGAAGCCGGGAAGGAGAAATGCTTACTATTTGTCAGGTTGTAACGTACTTTCCTGAAAGGCAAGACAATTCAATTAGTTCTGGCAGCCAGCATAGCCCCGAACATACATATCACGGCCAAGGAGATACAAACGTGTACCAAGGCAATGCCACATGGAGAGCTGAGACAACTCATTTTGTAGCATAAAGAAGTAGTCCCTACTAATGTCAAACCAGTAATGCAGAAGTAGATATTATGCTACACTCCAAAAGAGACTTCCTAAGGTAGCTTTAAAAGATTGTTTGTGACTGCTACAAGTCATTTCAGATTGAGTCTTTTCAACATCCCAAGATGTAGAAAACCATTGACTGCTTTTAGCCATCTTAAGGCAGCTGAATTAAAATTCATAAAAATCCATAATAACTCAATTTATTCCTCCCTTGAATTGTCTTGCTAACATCACCCCATGTCTTCCATTGCTTAAGGACTCCCCCCACCCCCACCTTGATCTCATTTTGCTGTCTGTCTCCATACACCAGAAGGTGGTTTGACCTTTGGACTTCAAGATGAAAATTTTACATTATCAGACCCAACACAGCCCTGCTTCCAGAAATCTGATTTTTCCACTCACTTCCAGTTGGCAGAAAGGGTCATGTGAGTTCCATCATTGAAGAGGACACCAATGCTACGGTCGGACAGCTGGTAGCCAAAGCCATATTTGTTGGAGTAGTCCACCCACTTGCTCACCCAAACAAAATGCTCGTGGCAGGCTAGAGAAGCAGGATTCCTCTCAGCTGAACAGAGAACAAAGATACTGTTTAAGTAAAATTAGAAGACAAGGCTCAGTATTTAATACCACAGTGTTATGAGGTTGTTCCAGGAGTGGCAATGAAACGGGTTTAAGGCAGAAGAGGACATACTTGGAATATGAACTTAGTCCACATCTACACTCTCAGAAGCATGTGTCAAGGGCTGCAGGCTGCTCTCCCTCTAGGATCCTAATCTCCCCACATGTTAAGGTGGACAGTCACTGCTATCCATTGGGATCCTCCTTAAAAGGAAGTAGATCTTCTATCCATCCAGTTCTTTTCTTAAGCAGGGCAAACTCTCCACTTATTGAAAAGTCTTTAGTAAGTTATTGGGGCGTGTGTGTTTGTGCATTACTGAAATCCAGAAAGTCCACCTGATCTCCCTTTCACAGTGCCATGACCTGAAGTCTTTTAAAAACTGTAGCTTAGTGTTGCTGGGAAAGGGCCTCCATAATTTATTTATTTATTTATTAGATGTATACCTGGCCCATCTAGACCCAAGTTTACTCTGATAATGTACCATTAATGATAATGGTTCCCCTTGCAAATTAGGCACTTATGCAGACAGCTTTTCTAGTTAGTCTGACAGTGAAGCCAAATCTTATATACATCCTGCCCAGTCTTATGCTTTTGTTTTTTGTGCTTTTATGCTGTAACAAGCATACTAATATGAAACAACTTAAGTTTTAGCAGGGTAAGAGAGTTGTGAGTTCACCCAAAAACTTTTCCTCTTTTACCCCTCCGCCTAAGAAATCAAGGCTTTCGTTTGTCCTCAACATTGTCCGTGCATATTCCCCAAAGTTTATAAAGTTACCTGGTGGCATGACAGAGAGACAATTCTTCAGGAGCCCAATTGCAGACTCAACAATGCCCGATGCTATTGCACAATCTTCAAATGCTAGAGAGGTGGGAACAAACAGTAATTTAATACAAAATCAGCTTACATGGGGTTTCCTATTTGTTGAACTCAATGTTCAAATAAGAAGAGCATGGAAACACATTTCTGGTAGTGCCTACACCTCACTGGCCTGCTGGAACTGGCTTAAACAAACATGCTACACTGAGCAATTGAGTCATTTTTCAAAAAATCCTGGCCATAAGACACAATTAACCATGCCATGAGTCCATCTATTCTTTTTTTTAGAAATTATATGCATACAATTTTTATGCTTCCCCATAGAAGGACTCAGGACAGCTCACCATAATTAAACTACAAGTAAATTTAAAAGTAGAATAAATTATTTAATTTTTAAAAATACAATTAAACACACACAGTATGCTATAGTAGAAAGCTCCTCCACACCCAGATCACCCTCACCCTGCCCAGCACAGAAAACTAGGTCCAGAGCGTGCCCTGCAATATGAGTGAGACAGGATATCACTTGGGGCAGCCTTATGGTTTTCATGGAGAACATGTGAAGTTCTCCATGAGAAAGCAGTATCAGCATGAATGTTGAAGTCCCCCACATCATAAGGAACCTGAGAACTCTGGCATCACCCCTGACACCAGCTCAGCTAGCTCAGGGAGGGAGACTACTGAGCAGCAAGGTGGGCAGTACACCAACAGATCTCCTGTCCTGGGCACCCACTTTCATCTAAACACATTAAAACCCAGAAGATTCTGAGACAGGGCGCCTGCTGAAGAGAGTGGAATCACTGCCGCCCCCCATCCGTAACAGCTCACACCCAAATGTAAGCGACAGCTTTTCCTGTTTGCTTGCAGGATCTAGAAGTACTATCGTTCAGGATTAGATTACATCCTAGTTAATAAGTATTGCAAAACAGAATCTATGCCCCACACTAATCTGTTCCAAGCACAACCACAGAAGCAAAACATCTTGGCAGACCTTCCTGCCAACAACTGATTCTGTGTTCCTTAAGCCACATTCCCACTATACAGCACATGGTGCCTGAGAGCAGTTCCTTCAGATTATCACACCCAGCAGGGAAGTGCTGCCATTCAAGACATTGCCATTCCTCACCTTCACAGCTACTAGCCATTGTCCCACGAATGGACCTGGAGATAGACTTCTGCGAGCCCTCTTCCGCTACAGTCTCTACTGGGCTAGAACTGGGACTCTGACCACTTAGCAGAGTGACCTGTGGTGATACAAAGTCTATTGAACATGTTTCATTCCACTTCGTAATTTGCGAGAGCTTCCAGCTAAACACCCATGACTGATTGATCCTCCCTCTCAAAAAGGCCAAGCTGACTAGACAATTAGTTTACCTCATTTCCTTCTACAGTTTTGTGGCTCAATTGCCTACAGATAGAGGTCTTCACAAGGCCTGTTACCAATTTGGAGATGTCATCTTTCTCTTCAGAAGGAGCTTTCTTAACTACAAAAAGAAAGGATGGGCTGTTAGTACCTAAGAAATCCTCCTCTAAGCACTAGAACCCATACTAAAGTTTGCAGGCCTGTCTAGTGTTGGTATTGTCAGGGTTTTATGAGGCAGAGACAACACATGGCAGTGTGCCAGTCACAAACTCTAGTGAAGTTGTCTAGCTTGATCGCAATTCTACTTGAGTAGCGAATCTTGTTCAAGGTTTCAACTTCTTTCCCCACATGTTTACATTTCATGTATCCGGGGTAAAAACCTAGAATGTCTATTTGCCAAGCATTGTACTTCTGAGTTTTCCTGACCTGCAAAAGAAGCATCTAAACCAAACTAAGTGAGTGGAAGTACTTGACACTTCCAGACAGTATTGCCATATTGCTACTTTCAGCCAGCAGTTATTCTTACAACTTCAACCAGCCATCAAAGCAGGAAAACAAGCAACATACCTTTTGACTTCCTCTTCCCAAATAGCGTCTTTGTGACTTTTACAAACAGAGTTTTGGCAGGATTGGGAGGATTCAATTCTGGCACCATCACACAGCTGCTGGGTGGGAGCTTATCAGGTGTATATCCCTAGAAAATAGAAACACTATGCTGACTGTACAGAGTCAGCATATCAAACTGTACAGAGCCTATACTGGACTGCTCAAAGCTCCTTTTAGCCTAGGATGCAATTTGAAAATAAATGGTCATTTTCATATTTGCAGAGCTTGGACTACAAGATATCCCAGCTGGGATGGCAGATGAATTATGGGAATTGAAGTCCAAGAATGTGTCACTTTTCAAAGCTTTGCACATTTGGGAGTTTTTCAAATAATGGAGTTGAAGGTGTCTTCTCAAATGCGAGACACTTTGGGGAAGACTATAACAACCAGCCTGCTCAGCAACATAGGCCAGAGCAAAGGTAATGATGTACTGTAGGTGGTTAAGTGTTAATCAGAAGCAGGATGTAATTATCTAAATTGCAATCCAGGCAAGAATCCAAGAGCTAACACCCTTATTAATAGGGACACTGCCATCCCAATATGGCGGCAACCCAAAGACACGCTTCACCTAACTTTGCCTCTAGGAAGACTGCATACCAAGCTAAAGGATATGGACACACCTGACAGCAGACTGCTTTGCAGCTGCCCAATATTCTACCCTGTCAATGATCTTGTCAGAAGTCAAAACAACCCATAATTACAGTTTTAAAAAAAAAAAAAACAGCAAAAAGGCATGTTACTCACTTTGGTGAAAAACTCATGGTCCAAGATTTCCTCAAGTGTGAAGCGTTCCTGTGGGTTGCGTTTCAAAATGCCCACAAGAAGGTTCTTGGCCGATATAGAAAGGAATGCTGGGAGTGTGTATGTGACATGCTTGATACACTTGTAGGTCTCTTTGAGGTCAGAAGTCTCAAAAGGAGGATTTCCACATAACAGTGTGTACCTGAAATGATGCAGGAAGCAGCAGAGAGAGACGAAAAAAGGTTGTGAGTGATGAATAGTATGGATTCAACTCAAGGGTATTGGTTCCCAACAGTCTGCATTAACAGGCACTTTACCAGCATATGACTCAGCAGCACTTATAGAGGAAGTTAATGTGAGGCAACACCCAGCATTAAGCACTCCCTGTAATAAGAGTGCATGAGATGCTGCTGTCGCTCTGGGTGCTGCAGACCGGAGGCACATCCGGAGAGCAAGCAGCCACCCTTCCCACATGTTCAGAAGCCTTTCAGGAATGCAATCTTTCTGAAAGGTTCTGCATATAGCAGAACAATGCAAAAAAAGGGAAGGACAGAGACCTCTTTCCTAAGCTATTTGTTCAAAAGGGCCGTTCTTCATACCCCACCCTCAGCATTCAAGAGAGTTGACAAAGAGTAGATGGAAAATTTAACCGGAAGTTGTGGCTAACCAGGGCAAAAAGAACTAGAGGCTCAAATTATGTCTTTTAAAAGATGCTCCGGAAAGCTGTTGAATAGCACCTATGCTAAACAATCAACCGCACACCACAGAGTGGCCACTTTTTCCATTTGATTTGAAGAAATTGTAAATAGATTGTGAAAGATTAGTAACAGCCACACAATGCTTTGAGTTTCCAGAGTTACCATATATACACAAATAGCCTAGGCATGATGAGAAGGCCAGTTAAGCTATTATTTGGGGCTAATTTTTATAACCAGAGGTAGTTAGTCAAGTTAAACTAGTGATAGAGATCAAGTATGTCTATTTTGCATCTAAGGAAATCAGGACTCTTGACAGGCTCCAATCTTGCCTACTTAGTAAGGCTCATATCTCCGAACTCCAGGCTCCCTTGAAGGCTAACAGCACTTTATATCAACAACAACAACAAAAACAACAAGAAAAGCCATCATCGGCCTTCCTATCAACAGATGGTAAGTCAGAGACTCCTGTTTTTCAGCATGTACTTTTAGACTTGTCCCCCATGAAGGTTTTTGATAAGGTAGCTTTGATAGACATCTGGTGTGCTATGGCAAGTGCCAAGCTGCCACAATTTCACCAACATTTGCAGAAGGCAACACAGAACCAATATAAGCACAGGAGCAATGCTAGTTCTATGTAGTCATTTATTACTATTATTTTTATTATTAGGATATAAATTAATTACTGAAATCCTGTTCAAGCAAATATGCCTGCAGAAGGTTTATGACATCATCACCAGGGACAATTTTTTGGAAATTAAACACTTTTGTCCTGCAGCTCCCACAACCACCCTGTAATCCCTTTCATCCTTTGGAAGGCATGGGAGCCTTGTGACGGGAGGAGTAAGCCTTTAAGTACTACAAATTATTGCTGCTGTGATAAGTAATTCCGCCTGCTTAAGAAATAAATAATGGTTTCTGTGAAGTTCAACTTTTTGGACTTACATGACACAGCCCAATGACCATACATCCGACTCTGGCCCATGTCCTTGTCGCAATAGCACTTCTGGGGCAAGGTAGTTAGGAGTACCACAAATAGTCCTGGAAAAAAAATACAACATTTGTATAATAGTTAGCTTGGTTGGTCACAGTGTTAACACACTGTTATAACAGATTCATTATGCTGCAGGAAATGCTGCTGCCACTGCCGCCGCCACCACAAAACTCAGCCAGATGGCCCAACATCACAGAAGCATCAGTAAGAACAGCACTATAATTATAAAGTGTCTTCCAAATGAGCTATTTACTGGTGCATAGCTTTAAGAAATGATCAAATACTAATAATCTAAAAGGGAGACTTTGAAAATCTTAAATTATTGTCAACACCATCTCTTAAAGTTGTACCTTCTGATAATAGGCTCCCTCTTTGCAATAAATGTAAACAAAATGTAAATGCAAACTTGTACTGGAATCCTGTTGGTAACCTTTGCATGCATAAATGAAACTAAGTCATGACGGCGAATTATCACTACCAAGGTGCTGCTTGCAAGTCATGCATCCAGCATGCAACAAGCCCATGATCAACACCTCATCAGTCAGGGGCAATTCACCACTAGGACATACACAATTTCACTTACATGTATGTAAACTGCCAATAGGATTCTGGTGTTGGTTATATGTATACGAGCCTGAATAAGATAACCATGTATTCCAACATAACCACAAGCTGATCAAGATGATAAAGAAAGCTACAAATAACATTACTCTGCCTTTTTGAGGATGTTGCTCCCACTCCATCTCTCTTCCCAACCACCTGGTGCCTGGCATATAGAGAGCACTTAGAAAAGTTACTTTTGACTATGACTCCCACAGACCATTAACCGGCATGGCCAGTTAACATGCCAACTAAATAATTCTAGCATTTGAAGTCAAGCTGGTATACAGTGTGCTTTGCACACTGTATACCAGCACCATCTCAGCCTTGTTTCCATAAGCAGATATGTCGGAAGCCTTGTTCACTGTCATTAGAATTAAAGTAGGATGAGCTACTGCGTAGTGCACCTACTAACACATGTCAACATGCAAGCATTGCTGCCCTACTATGTATAAGATGCCCTCCCTCTCCACAACGCCTTTCTACCCAATACAGTTAGCCATTTTAGCTACTGCAACAGTCAACACTTTGCATGCAGTGTAACCCATGATAAGGTTGTCATTGTTTCCCTCCACTGTGCAAACACGACTCCTCTGCCTTAGACTCAACTACTTAGACAGTAACAGCATTGTTTCTTTGGCCACCAAGTTCTAGGCCAAAGCAAAGGAGTCTATTTCAAGTCCTACTGTCCCTGATTCCCCCCAACCCCAAGACAGACACAGCTGCAAAGTGAAGAAACAGGACAAGGAAGGACTGTAAAAGACCACTCTTCATTACTACTCTTTAGTAAGCAACAACGGCATTACAGAGAAAAGCAGGAACACAAGAAAATGTTCCAAAGAATATAAAGAATTCTAAGCCACCCACTTTTTCCTCTGGTCTGCAGGTTCTTGCCGGGCAGCCAAACCAAAATCTCCAACTTTTAGTTCCATGTTTTCATTGATGAAAAAGTTACCTGCAGCAGAAAAGTATTAGGATTCTATTACAAAACAATCCTGCATAATACGTAATAGAATTTCAAAATTTAACAAAGACTGTATCACCTTGGAGCCCAGGCTTGTTTTTTAAATAAAATTTTAACCTAGTTACATGGAAATTAGTGGCAATTAATGCAAGACTATTGCAGCCATCAAACAATGCAGACACTTTCTGCAAGTCAACCTGACACATCTGGAGCGAAACTTTATTTCACTTTTGAATGACAAAACAGCTATGTTCCACTCACCCAGTTTGAGATCCCTGTGGAGGATGCCTTTGAGGTGAAGATATTTCAAGGCAGAGATTATTTGTTTGAGGTAATATCGAACCTCTGGCTCCAGAAGGGTGTGTCGAGCTTTCCAGATGTGTGCCAAGGACTGGAAGAGAAAATAGTTGTTATAGAGAGACTACCTGAAGACTGCTCCCTGCAATGGTCTGTGGGGCATGATCTGAGTCTGGTGTGACCCAAACTAACTTCCCTACATAGCTATGAGGTTTGTGGAAATTCTCTACAGCCACTCTCTCAGCCAAAATTATCCTACAAAATAGCTAAGACTTCAAAACTGTTCTCTTCTCTTTTAAAGGAGGTAGAACTGTGTATGCCACCTTGAAATCTGTGGGGTAAAAACAGTATATAAATATAACAGACTCTCAATTTCTAAAGTCAATTATGAACATAGCCACACCTTCTGCTTCTTATACCAAGAGAAATCTTTCCTAGTTCTAACTGCCCACATGTACCAAGTATTTTTCTCAGTTTGCTTTCAGAATATACATGTTGCAACAACCCAGGCCATTTCTAAAACCCTGAAAGACCTATTCCTTCCCCAAATGATACCTAATATATTTACTAAGAAAACTGACATGTGGACAGTTAAGTAGAATAAAACAGGCCAAAAGAACACAGGACAGATGCCTGAAAAGAAAGGAACTCAGTAATAAATGCTGAGATTCACCCAGAAAAGCTTCACATCCCAATATTCAGGTCACTTTACTAAGAGTGGGTCCGTGCCAAGTACCGGAGTAAATCTTGATGTTATCTGTACAAGTACTATTGCAACAAGTAATCCTTGCTGGCTAGCTTTGATCTACCCCAGAGAAGCTTCTCATTAAAATGCCAGCAGCTGACTAATTGTTTACAAGGGGTTGAACTGCATACAAGAAAAAAAAGCCACAAAAATAGCTTCAGCGTTATGCACAGCAGCCTCAGCTTCCATACCAAGAGAACTTGTGTGACAGATTCTTACATATGAGTCGTATAGGATTTTTTCGCCATCCCAAGCATGTTACAAAGAAAAAAGTGTGTGAAGCAAACAGGATGGCAGGAGTATCACATAACTATGTGTAAATCCAGTATCAGTAAGGAACCTGGAAGTGAATGCTTCTTCATTAAAGAGGCGGCGAGTTGTATGATTGGCCTACCCAACTCTGCGTTTCACTGCACAACTACTGCTTACCCAATGGAAGATTATCTATATACTTGTAGGCTGAACTTGGTCTGATGATATGCAAAATATTCCATTTCTATTGCCACACCACCAGAATTTTGCCTTCAAGTACTCGCTGGTCAGTCTTGCTCTGTGATACTGCTCAAGGAACACATAACTTTCCTGCTGTGATTAAGGTAAGGTGATGTGAGAGGCAGCTGAGAGCACCACAAAACCAATCAGTTTGCTAAAGGAAGAAGAATTGTAATACAAATTAATGATGCTTCCAGGAAATACATGATGCCCTGGAGAAAGAAGGCAAAGTGGAACTCACTTTTCTACTGCAGTGTTCAAGGAAGATATAGATGTTATCTGAATCTTCAAAATGATGTGAGAACTTCACAATGTGTTTATGGTGCAGGTCTCTGTGCAGATCAATTTCATTGATGATCTGGAAGAAGCATTATTGAAATCAGCAAGTTTTTTAAGCGAAAGGTGTCATCCATCCTTCTCTAACATGGGTGCCCGCCAACTTTGCTGGGACCACAACACCTAGGACAAGATGCAAGTTGTGGTCTAACATATCTGGAACACAACAGGTTGGAGAAGGCTGGTCTAATCAATGCTTCATTAATTCATTAACTCAGCCCCTCTGAATCACATACCTTCTCCCGTTGATGTGGCTTAGCCACTCTGCTGTGAGGAATGACTTTGACAGCATATGTCTTGTTGCTTGAGAGATCTGTTACTTCATAGCATCTTGCAAATCCCCCCTACAAACCAAGGAGGAACCAATTAGACAATAAAGCTATAGAAACTTCCCTATAGAACTCTGAAGGGGTTTGGAGTCAACCACTCTACAAGAATAACTTATCTGAAGGGTTTTTAAAGGAACACATTTTCCCAAGGCACTGATTATATGGACACTTATCCCCAGAAGTTCTCTTAAATCCCATGTCTGACATGCTAGCCTGACAATATTTATAGAAAGATTCCAAGCTTTCAGCAACAGATATGAGGAAACCTGAACATTAATGAATAACTGTCTGCTTTCCTTCCTTTTTAATTCATATTGGAAAAGTAGTGTCCATCATTTCAAAAGACCATAGCTTGGGTGTTGAACAAGTGTTTTAGGAAGAAAATTCTAAGTTTAATTTCCAATGAGAAGGCTCAGATTATGTCTGATGAAAAATAGCTTGCTCTGCCAGGAACTCCAAAGAACCAGTGCTCATCTGCAGTCAATACCTGCCTACCTTGACTAATGTTTATAATTTCTTGAACAGATGCCTAATGATAACCTACTCTGCCCTTTCTCAGGCTTTCTGCTCTTTTTAACACTGAAGGCCATGAAGGGAAAATGAAAACCAGTCAGATGCATGTTGTCAAGAGGTGTATCCCACAAATGACAAAGAAAAGAGGGTTACTATAGGAGTGGATTTAGGTAGGATGGGTTCACAAGAATGCAACTACCTGATGATTGATGTCATCCCTTAGTCTGTGTGTGAGAAACATCTCACAGATGCCTAAGATCACTACCTCATCACCCAAGGCAAAGTACACCAAAATGGAAGCTAAATCAGGTGATGATAACTAACAATGAGCTCATCCTTTGTCTTTTTGTTTTAAAACCATGCCTGATATTTTTAATCTCATTCTATTCTTTTAGCAAGTGTACTGTAATATATTGGAGTTTTAACTTGGCTACAAAAGTAGCTAGACAGAATGAAGTTTAATTTCTGGCCAAGACAGGAGGGACAAATTTAAGTTAAATTAACAGAAAAGCATTCAGTTTTTTGCATCCTCTTCACCTGTGTATTAGCAACATAAAAATAAATTCATGTAAATCATTCAGAGCAGTCAGGATAATGAAAGTTATGGATACAAAATCCTATAGGGAAGTGATTTTAAAAATGTATGTGTATTTAGTCTGAAAAAAAATAAAGGAAGAGACAACAGGACTCTTCAAGTATCTGAAGTGCCAATGTGTCCATCATGTAACATATGCAGACTGGTTTTGCACCTGAAAACATGATTATAACTCATCTGTAGAAGTCGTAAGGAAACAGGCTTCCCTTAAACTTCTTCTAACTTTGAAAATATTTTAGACAGCGAGCCTGTGTCTTGGGAAACAAACTTTGTTTGAAATAGAAGTTGAATAGTCCTCTGTCCAGTATTCTAGAAACTGCTGATTCTAACAAAAAGCAGGGGGTTAGACTAGATTATCTCCAATTTAGTTTCCAACTTGTGTTCAATTTAAAACCACATAAAACATCTCAATAGGCCACATAACTACACACATGAACAAAAATGTCTATGAAATTATAAATATTTAGTCCACCAAACTGAGAAATACAATTTTCATATCCTCTACAGGGGTTTAAGTGCATAGGGGTGATATTTCATTTTATATTGTACCTTGTAACATTCTAGCATTTGTGGCGATTTCCTCTGACTTTCCCCACACCCACCGACATCACACTCTTTTTAGCAGAGTGTGGTTCAGCTGTTGTCACAGAGTCCCCAACAATGAAGGGACTGTTGATACAGGTTTTTCCAGCAGCGAATAAAGTACAGTACATTCTTGCTTGCAGCACACACCTCACCTGAAACCATCCTCACACCTATACAACACCAGCATCTTCATATCCAAACAAGTCAGGTTTCTCTGGCATAATCACAGAAATAGCCCTGGCTGGTATCATTGAAAGGATCTTGTAAAAAGCAGTAACAGAAAAAACTTCACACATGGTCAAGTATGTTCAGAAAGGACCAAGACACCTCCACACACACTGAGCAGATTTTCCATGTGACACATCATGTTTTTGATGTTGGGCAAAAGCAACCAACAAATGCACACCTTCCTTCAAAGCATGATCTTTGAAACAATGCCAGGTTTGCTCACAGAGAATGAAGAGGTTTCCAGTATCAATGTGACCGCAACTTTCCCGTCCCCATTATAAAATTTGATTACACAGCTTATTCAGCTAGTGTGGCCAATGAATAAGCCAGGAAAAACCAGACATTTCTGGGTGATTAAAACTTGCAGAAGAGAAACATGCCATGGAATATAATTCAAAAGGTATCACCTGTATCCTCTTATACCTCCAATTTAAATCAAATCACTTTTTGAAAGGTGAAGATATACTTGTGCAAATAACAGCTTTTGCAGAGTAACTGCTATGCATTTGTCCCAGAATGGTACCATAGAATGAAACAGAGATTATATTAAATGAATGGGACACTGAAGGAGATGAACATTAAAAGGGGGAAATATACAGAAGGCCTTTTTCCTAATCACTGAAAACAGGCCAGATCTTTGTTAGTTTCTGCATCTTTCATGAGCTCTGTTTGCTTCATGTTGCTTCACAGTCATAAGAGATAGAAATGTTCAAGTATGACTGTTCCGAAACCTCTAGATTTTACACCAGAAAAATACATGATGATTACAATTTCTAAGCCTCCAACAATATGAGAATTCAGGCAAACATTTAGCTAAATGCAACTGTTAGTCTCAATCAGAGTAGACCCACTGAATCAGTAAGTGTTGATTTAATAAATATTATTGGTTCAATAAGTCTACTCCTCTAGGGACAATCCATCATATTTAGTCTCTTAATAAGCATAAAGGCCAGAATTCAATGGTGTATTTCTGCTGAACCCTGTTGCTTCTGGCTCAAGCAACATTCCCATCTCTCCCCTCCCCCTACACTTTAAAACCTGTACTGGAAGGATGGAGACCCTGTAGCAGGTTTTTGGTGCTACAAAGAGATACAGGAGGGAAAAGGCAAGAAAGTCTGAATTTCTGATGATACTGGGTACCAAAGTACAACACTGGATCTTGACGAAATATTTATGTCACGATCCAGTGGGTGCAAATCCAGTAGTAACAACTAGAGTAGGCCCACTGAAACAATTGAACTTATATAGGTGATTCCACTGATTCAGTGGACCTAGACCAATTACTACTGGATTTCAGCCAATCCTCAGGTCTTCAGCTTAACTCTTTTATTTATTAGTTATATTTCCTAACTTTCATCCAATTCATTCAAGACAGCATACTTTACTCTCACAACAACCATGTGAAGTAGGTCAGAAGCAACTTATGGTAGCACTTCAAGGGATAACACCATTTTCACAACCCTGCAAGAGGAGCTAGATTAAACTTGTGACCAGACTAAGATCATGCAAGCAGTATTTAACTCAAAGTTACCCTGATCCATGACCAATACTCCACCAAGTATTCTATATTGGCTCTCTAACAGTGGTTCCTAAACACACTGCCTTCCCTGTTCTTTTATTTCAACTTTCAGAAGCTATAGCTAGCACAATCCAATGGTGAGGTCCTCCAGGGTCTTGAGTCTGGGAGCCTCTATTCTCTAAGGATCCAGACATTCTCAGAAACAGTGATCTGGTGGACATTACTTTTTTCAAATGTCTTCTTCAGCTACCACAAAAAGCTATAACTAGTTTGGACATTGCATGAAAGTAGTTGTACACAGCGTACCGCCCCCAGCTCCTTGATCTATGGGTTGTGTTTTACACATGCAAAGAAAGTGTGGGCATTCTTGATCTCACTCCACTGAGACATCAATCATCTGTATTAAAGGATCCAAGAACACAAATGCTTTGCTAAACCAGACCATATTTCCAAGAAACTCAGATCCATGGAAGCCCAATAGAAACTGGGCAATAGTCCACCAACAATGGAATGGGTTACATACTAACCCATACAGTAAACATAAGAAGCCTCCTGACTAGAGCAACAGTCATACATTGAGCAAAGTGTGGCGTGGGCAGTAAGAGTGTAGGATTAGGGCTTGGGAGTTCCAGATTCCAGCCTCCACAAAAGTTACAGGGTGACCTTGGATCAATGTCTTTCAACGTGACCTACCTTACAAGGCTAGTGCCAGAATAAAGGGTAGGGAAGGGAAGTTACGGACACTGCATAGAAACCAATTCGTTCTCCACCGAAAGATTGGAGTTTACTAATCTTGAAAACAATCATGGGGATTATATCATAAACACCAAAATAACCATTATTATACATATTTAAGGAATCAAGAGGAACCTGGAGAAATCCTAAAAAGCAGAATACAATCTAACGTTTTGTAAAGATATATAAAGAGAAAATATTCACAACTCCAACTGCTACCATTTCCCGCTTCTTCCGTTCATCAGAAACTCGCATTGGTTTTGCCTTAAAATCTGTTCGAAAGGAAATTCTCCACTGACAGAAAGCGAATAGGGAAACCCCACAGGCTTTCGTCCGTTGCGAGTGGGGTGGGAGGGTGGGCGGGAGGACAGGGCGAAACGAAGAAACATGATGTACGATCAAGCATGGCGGAAAGAGCAGAAATCAAGTGCTTAACATTTAGGCATCGCCTCTATAAATCACACCATATACACTGTAATGCTAAAGATGGGGCTGAGAATCGTGCCCAGGCACGCCTGCCTCGGAGTCATCGAAATGTTGAGGTAGGGGAGCAGCCCTCAAAGTGGTCACCAGCAGCTAAACACAGGTGGGCGAAAATGAAGCCCGGCCTTGCTTCAGTTTGGGGAAGGGGCGCCGAAGGAGGCGAGGTTTTCGCCTCCCCGGCGACGGCAACGCGCAAATGCTTCCGTTGAGCCGCTGCCAAACAAAGGCACGTCGGGCACCGCAACTTGAAAGCTCGCGGTTGAGATCCGCTCCACAGTCACTAGCCCGGCTCATTTCTACCGGTACTGGAGGGGGTGGTGGTGGGCGAGCCGGTCTCCTGTTAGCTTCTCGCCAACAGCTACGCAGACCGCGGGACGAAGGCACAATTAGAGAGCAAGTCATGTCCTTGCCTTCATTCATCTGACGACTGCAAATTCCCCGGTGGGGAAAACACACACACACACACACACAAACACACACACACACCAAAGGCGTCCTGACGCGCATTGTAGCCCACCCGCACTGGGCCGGAGACAGCCAAGCAGACCACGGACCTACCTTGCCGAGCAGCCGACCTCTGCTGTAAGACCTCCCCGTGACGGGATCGCTGATGATCCGGGTGGGTTCGGCCGCTTTAGACGGCTCCATCCGGTCGGAGGAGGGTGAAGCGATCGGCGGCGGCTTGTACAGATCCGAGGCCATACCGTTGTCGTGGAATGGATGAGCCGACAGAAAACAAGCCGGCTCCATGCTCGCCAGAGCGTACTTACTACCGGGGAGCGCGGGGGAGAACACGCCGGCCCTCGCCCTCCGCCGCTTTCCCCAACGCGTACACGCGGCAAAAAGGAAGTTTCGCACGCTCTATCTGTACGACAGCCGGGGAATCCCGGTGCTTTTATCAATGAGAGATGTTGACGTCATGTTAGGGAACCCCTCCCTCCAGCTAGGGGGCGGTGTTACTTCTTAAAGGAGCCGCCGCTCGGAAAAAAAAAAGGAACGGGAAATACTTGCTTGATGACTTTTCGTTCACTGCAAAGACAAAGGGAGTTTCGGAGGGACGCGTGGAAAGGAAACCGAGATAAATATAGTCTTTCTCTCCTCATCCATTCCTTCCACCGGAGGCCTGCAGCATTAATACAATCGACTGGTTCGTCGTCGCTCTTGTCCGGGCAATGAAATTGTGCCTTGGTTTTGAACCCGAGAATTGATGCCTGCTCTATGAAGATGTACCTCATTCCACAATACCACATTTTAGAGGAAAGGCTCTAAAGGTTTAAAGCTCTAAACCTAAAGGTTCCTTTGAAAAAAGGGTGGCAATTTTCCAGCAGCTAGAATGACTCGTGTTCCTTTAAAAGTTTAAGGCGTGAGGGATTGACTCGGCATTGATTTGAGGACTCTATAGATTCATCGTAACCGGTGGTCCTCTCGACGCTGTTGGCTGCAACTTTCATTATTCTTTATCACTGACTATTATGTTGGAGCAACTCAATATGCCAGCACGTTTGGAAAACTCAGCAGTGGCCAGAGGATTGCAAAAAAACCGGTCTACATCCCAATCCCAAAGAAGGGCAGTGCCAAAGAATGCTCCAACTACTGTACAATTGCACTCATTTTACACGCTAGCAAGGTTATGCTCAAACTCCTCCAAGGTAGGCTTCAGCAGTATGTGGACCCAGAAGTACAAGGTGGATTTCGAAGGGGCAGAGGAACTAGAGACCAAATTGCTAATATGCGCTGGATTATAGAGAAAGTCAGAGAGTTCCAGAAAAATGTCTACGTACTTCTGCTTCATTGACTATGAAGAAGCCTTTGACTGTGTGGACCACAGCAAACTATGGCAAGTCCTTAAAGAAATGGGAGTGCCTGACCATCTTATCTATCTCCTGAGAAACCTATACGTGGGACAGGAAGCAACAGTTAGAACTGGATATGTTACAACTGATTGGTTCAAAATTGGGAAAGGAGTACACAAGGCTGTATATTGTCCCCCAGCTTATTTAATTTATATGCAGAATACATCAAGCGGAAGGCTGGACTGGAGGAATCCCAAACCAGAATTAAGATTGCCGGAAGAAATATCAACAACCTCCAATATGCAGATGATACCACTCTGATGGCAGAAAGTGAGGAGGAATTAAGGAACCTTGTAATGAGGGTGAAAGAGGAGAGTGCAAAAAACGGTCTGAAGCTCAACATCAAAAAAAAAAACTGCAGATGGAGACAGCAGCCACAAAATTAAAAGACGGCTGCTTCTTGGGAGGAAAGCAATGACAAACCTTGACAGCATGTTAAAATGCAGAGACATCACCTTGCCAAGAAAAGTCCGCATAGTCAAAACTATGGTTTTTCCTGTAGTGATGTATGGAAGTGAGAGCTGGACCATAAAGAAAGCTGACCGCCGAAGAATTGATGCTTTTCAACTGTGGTGCTGGAGGAGACTCTTGAGAGTCCCCTGGACTGCATGGAGAACAAACCTATCAATTCTAAAGGAAATCAACCCTGAGTGCTCACTGGAAGGACAGATCCTGAAGCTGAGACTCCAATATTTCGGCCATCTCATGAGAAGAGAAGACTCCTTGGAAAAGACCCTGATGTTGGGAAAGTGTGAAAACAAGAAGAGAAGGGGATGACAGAGGATGAGATGGTTGGACAGTGTAATCGAAGCAACCAACATGAATTTGACACAACTCCGGGAGGCAGTGGAAGACAGGAGGGCCTGGGGTGCTCTGGTCCATGGGGTCACGAAGAGTCAGACACGACTGAACAACTGAACAATGACGAAAACACTGATGAAAAAATCTGATGGGTGATGGAGATAGTGCCTACTGCTGCAAACATAGAAGATGAGAACTGAGCCGAGCTTGGTACTCCTACTTTATATGTGAAAGTGTCTCCATGCCAAAACCACCACACCAATGAATGATACTACAGTATTCACAAAGACAATGAATAATATCCTTGGAGAGTGTGCATAATGAGTGATTATCCTTGGGAGCCCCCTGTCTTGAAGCATCCGGAAAGAGACATGTTATCAGAATCAGGAGCTCTTTAAAAATTTTTGAAAGGCCACATTCACAAACATGGTTTCACTTAATTAAAAATAAATTCTACCAACTACATAGTTTACTCATTTTTTGCATGTAGTCAGAAACAGGAGAAATTTCCTTTAGTTCACAGACAACAGTTCAAAGAATCCTACATTCCCATCAGATGTGGCGTTTTGGCAATTGTGGCTCAAAAAGTTAATTTCCCCAAATTCTATTGATATCTCACTTTTCCTCCAAGCAGCTTCACACCCACAAGTCAAGGTACATAATACCCAAGGGCAACCAAGGTATGTTTCTACTTAAGGCAGATATTCTCACAAATACTTTAGTAGAGGGAGGGAAACACAATGTGTCAGGTAATTAGCCACTTGCTGACCTTTTGTGATACCCCAGTTCAGCCATTTCACTCAATTTGATAGCAGGCCCCAGCCCTGGATAGCTCTCCTTCCTCTCCTTTTATCATTACAGGATTGAAAAACTTTCTGTAAAAATATTATAGGATCACTGTGTAGTCTGAGACAAGGACATTCCCTACCGCATTTGTTTTTATTTGTTTTATTTTCCTCTTCCGTATTAATTATGTACCACCAAGTCTATTCTGCTGATTGGAGAGTTGTGCTCCAAGAAAGTAACTTCTCCGAGTTTTTATATGCATCAAAGGCAAGGGACTGAAATCTGACCTTGGAAAGGGAAATTTCCTATGTTCACAGCATGAAGATAAACATTATAATCTGCTGAGGTAGGTATATCAAACTGCTGCTAAAAACACAGTTGCGGAAACTGAATAAAAAGTTAGTAACCTCAATATCCATTTGTGGGATTGTGATCTGAAAGATAGTATTATTAACCTGTCAGAAGCTGATGGAAACATGCTTGTTTTAAAACTCTTATTTAGCTGATTTGTATATCACTCCCATAGTGCCTTTACTTAAAATAAAAACTAAAGCAAATATACTGTGTGTCCTGTTTTAAATAGGGCTTTTAACTTTCAAACATTTGTAAACCAATGCCTTTAAGGCAAAGTTGATTATGGAAACATTAACCGGTGATAACATTTGCCTCCACACTGGGAAAAAACTTCACTAGTTGATTTCTTCAGATCATGCTGCTGCTGAAGGCCAGGTGCAGGACAAGTTACTGTTTGTTTTCTTATCTATCAACTACTCTGTGTTTAAAGTTTGAGAGCAGAGTTTAGGAAAGTAACTATTCTTGAGAAAGTAGCCATTCTCACTTTTCCAGTCTTGGTTTGAGATTAAGCTATTTTGCCAGGTGTGAGAAGCCTTTGACCTCATTGTGGGATTATAACTCCCATCAACCCCAGCTAAAATAGCCAAAAGTCATGAATGATGAGGTTTGTAGTCAAATAACCTGGTACTGTATAATGATTCATGCATTGGACTAAGACTCCATAGTCCAGGGTTCAAATGTATACTTAGTTGTGAAGCTCAGTGGAAGCCCTTAGCCCGGTAAGTGTTTTGGTGGTGTAACTGCTATCACTGGGGTTGTTGTGTGGATTATTTATTTATTTATTTATTTATTTATTTATTTATTTATTTATTTATTTATTTATTTATTTATTTATTTAATTAATTTCTATCCCGTCTATCTGGTCATACTAGACCACTCTAGGCGGCTGTGGAGGAGATTACCTTGCAATCCATTAAGAAAAGGTATGATAGAGATGTAACAAATCAGTAAGAAGGATGCTGTTCTTTCTACTCTGGATTCCCTCCAGCTTCCTAAGGTTTTCAGCTCTTGAAAGCAAAATGTAGCTGATGTCTTAATTGTAGCATGACTATTTTTTCTATATATGAGTTACTGAGGAATTCAAAGGGTTGGGTGAGTTTCTAGCTATCATGGCATTTCCCCGCCCTCATTCTTCTAGTCCTTTTCTTTACATCTGCTAAGCAGCCACAACACATGTTGCCATGGCAACAGTGCTGTGAGACAGAGGGAGAGACAAGTGGAGGAAGTCCTTAGTTGTAAGGGAAAGGTTGTGGGGTTTTTTTTTTAACACAGACAGGCAAAATAATATCCGTAAATCCTTTAAATCTTAGGTGAAATATCCCAGCATGGCATGCATGTTTGAACTCACCTCTGAGTGCCCCACTGCTCCAGACATTATATTTCAGTTAAACCCTAAAAGCACATATTGCCATATTGATCTAATCTTTTCTTTTCTGTGTGGAATTCCAGAGTTGCTTTGGGGCATGCCAACAAATGTAAAATTAGCTGTGTACAAATGGCCCCTCCACCTGTAGGCCACCCTCCTGGGGGAACAATGTATGAAATTCTCTTTACTGGCTTGGTTTGCTACCTTTTCCTCTTCCAGGGTGTCTGTGGAAAACTGCATCAGCATATCTGCAATGTGTCATCACTTTCCTCTGTCCACTACACCACACTGGGTATCCATTTTAATGAGTAGCCTGTCTAAGGGTGTGGTTATACTGCTGATTTGTATCAATTTCAGCTCCAATGTATTTTAAGTCATTTATCAGTCATGTGGTTTTTGTATCTTTGTGCACATTCACTTTTGAAATTATTACGCCACTATAAAGTAGGAGCTTAAAACCACTTGGGGAAACTACACATGGAATTTTAAATTGTATTATTAACCAGCATGTTTGGAGACTCATGGTTTCCATTGTCGCTGATCCTGGCATATCTTTCTCTTTCCCATTTGTCTTCAATGGTGTGCAATATTTCTTTAGTTTTTAGGCATCCTTTGGAATGTGTGCCTTTCCCTCTTTTTAAAAAAATATATTTTAAGTTACATAGTGACATTTCGAATTGACAGGCTGTAGTGTCCCTACCATCCAAAACCTGCAAC